AATTAATATATTCAAAGAAAAAATGGAAAGGATGGAGAACTTGAGTGAAGACCTAGAAATCATAAAATAAAGTCAAATGGAAATTCTAATAATGAAAAATATAATGACTGGAATTAAAAATTCAATAAATTTACAGCAGAGAATGCTTGAACTGGAAGATAAATTCACTGAAAGTATCCAGATTAACACATACAGAGAAAAAAAAAGGATAAAGGGTAGGGAGAATGAATGAGGATGAAGCAACAAATAGTGGTTAGGAGTTTTCCAAAACTGATGAAAGACATTAAAATTCTTTACAAAGGGCCGGGGATTTAGCTCAGTGGTTCTGCTGCCTGCCTCGCAAACACAAGGTCCCGAGTTCAATCCCTGGTACTGGAAAAAAAAATTCTTTACAAAATCAAAACAGGATAAATAAAAAGGAAACCATACAGAAGTATATTACAGTAAAAATACAATTAATTTTCTAGTATATAACCGAGTAACTACCATTTTATTTATTTATTTATTTTGCTTAAATTCTTTTATTGGTACATTTTAGGTATACAATGTTTACATTTACCATTGGGTGCTTGGACCCATACATGATGGATCTCGGTTCTTTCTTTTTCCCCACTCCCTGTGTGCCTGTAACTACCATTTTAAACACTTACTTTATGGACACTAGTTTTCATCACTGGAAAAGCATGATTTTCTTTTTGGTTTATTGCACATGCTTTATTATTTTTTAGCAAAATGCTTATTGGCACATTTTAGATATACGTAATGATAGCATTCATGATAGGGAACCTGTACCAGTGCATGACATATCTTGCTTCTTCTTTTGTTCTCGCTTCCCCCTCCCTTATGTACAAAAGCTTTGTTTCCACTTTCTCGTTTGATTTTCTTTCTTTCTTGCCCTTCCTTTTCTTCTCCCTTCCCCCTCCCTCATTCTTCTTCTCATTTGAACATTTCTTTCCCATTTCCCAACGTCTATTGTGCATTTTTGAAAGACATAAATTATCTTCACTAAAAAGAAAAAATCTTCACCTTGAAAATAAGGACTTGAGATGCTGAGCGCTCGGGTAAGATGTCCCGAATCACGCAGCTGGGTGCAGAGGGCTGAGGCCGTCAAGTCCTGTGTGGCCACACAGCCCAGGCTCCTCACCACGCTGCCCTGTCCCTTCAGGAGATGTGCAGGCTGTCATGTCTTATGCCCTGGGCCTGGACTCTGGCCGCTCACATCCCCGTGCCATCTTTGACGAGACCAAGAACAGTGCACACAGACAGAGGCAGACCTTGGGGCTGACAAGGAAGTGTGAGACCCTGACACTGCTGTTACCGGTGAGCAGGCCAGTGGCCAGGCCCCTGGGTCAAGAATGAGGTGGGGTGGGAGGCAGAGAAGAGCAGGTCCCCTAACACCCACTCTCCCTCAGAAATGTGTGAAGGACTCAGTGAGCCCCATTGTCCTGCGCCTCAACTACACTCTGGTGGGGACACCCGTGCCCTCTTTTGGGAACCTTCGCCCCATTCTGGCTGAAGATGCCCAGAAGTTTTTCACAGCCTTGGTGAGTCCTGGAGTTGGGCCCCTTCCAGGGCATGGAAAAGACAAGAGGCTGATTGTTGAAGCTTGTTTGATTTCAATATTTTATTTTATTGTTTCATTTCATCATCTCCTTTTAAATCATATTCTTAATTTTCAGTTTCCCTTTGAAAAGAATTGTGGCAATGACAGCATTTGCCAGGATGACCTCAGCGTCACCTTCAGTTTCAGGAAGTGAGTTTCTCTCCCTCATCACTGTCTTCCGACCTGCTCCGTGGTGTGGTGCTCGGTTCTCCTGGCCCCAAGGAAACCAGCACAGAGTAGTTTCTTCAGAGGCACCGTGTGCTGCAAGGTCCTCAGTGGCTGTCCGTCCGTCTCCTGCCTCTCCAAGTGCCTGCACAAGACAGACTTGGCCCAGGGCAGACTGGCAACTCACTCTTGCTGTCTTGTTGCCCCCACAGCCTGCATACCTTGGTGGTGGGCGACCCCAGGGGACTCAGTGTGACGCTGACTGTGAGGAACCAGGGCGAGGACTCCTACAGGACGCAGGTCGCCCTCTACCACCCACTGGGCGTGTCCTACCGGAAAGCGTCAGTGGTCCAGGTAGCCAGACCCTTCTCAGGCCTGTCTGCCCTTGCTTCCCTTTTCTCCGTGGCTGGGCTTGGCAGCACTACATTTGCCTCCCAGAACCGGCGCTCACAGCAATCCTGGGACGTGTCCTGTTTGTCCGGCTCCTCCACCGAAGGACCTGGGGCTTTGAAGAGCACCAGCTGCAGCATAAACCATCCCATCTTTCCAGACAACTCCGAGGTCAGAGCCACTAGCTTTTCACCTTCTTTTCTCTTTTGTCTTCTTCTGGAATTCTCCTCTTCCTTCTCCTCTCTTCCTCTTTTGCCCTTTCCTCCTTGTTCTTTTCTTAAAAGTAGAGGCTCCCCTTTTTTCTTACAAAATAGCTTTACTGAGATATAGCTCAAGAGATACCAGGGCCAGGGATTTAGCCCAGTGGTTCTGGCACCTGCCGCGCAAGCGCAAGGTCCCAAGTTCGATCCCCGGTACCAAAAAAAAAAAAAATGTACAAGTCAGTGGCTTTCAGTGCATTCAGAGTGATGAACATTAGAGGTCTTGCTACTGGCCGCCAACTCCCATCTCCCCAGCCTCTGACGACTACTGATTTACTTTGCCTCTGTAGATTTCATATTCTGGATATTTTGTATAAATAGGAACACACAGTGTGCAGTGTGTGGTCCTTTGTGACTGGCTTCTTCTGATTAGTGTATTTTCAAGGAACTTTCACTGATAAGTACTTCATTTCCTGCATTGCTGGATAGCCTATGGTATGGATGGGTGGGATTTTATTTACCTGTTCATCAGCTGATGGATGTGTGTGCTGCTTTTTCTCTCCTGATCTTATCACCATGTCTCCTTTCTCCAATTCAGGTCACCTTTGATGTCACATTTGATGTGGAGTTTGGTGCTTCCCTTGGAAACAAACTACTCCTCAAGGCTAATGTGACCAGGTACCCTTGTTCCTCACTTTTGGGGCCCTTTTCCAGGCTGAACTTTTCTCACTACTGATATTCTGTTCAGATCATTCATTCATTCAACAAACAGAGATGAACACACACCAGGTGCCAGGGAATGGACAGTGGTGGTTAAGGCAGCAGTGGTTCTTGTCCTCACAGAGAGTATGATTTAGTGGCACAGGCAGATAAGAAAACTGGTGATTATCCTACAGTAGGAAATGAGTGATTCGGCCAGGGAAGGTGGTGCACACATGAAATCCCAGCACTTGGGAGGCTGAGGCAGGAGGATTGCTGTGAGTTCGAGGCCAGCCTGAACTACATAGTAAGACCTTGCCTCAAAAAACAAACAAACAAATGAGTGATTAAATGGCAGGGCTGTCCAGTGTTCTTGGGAGCTTTGTTCTCAGGAAATATTTCTGAAGAAAATATGTGAAGACTGAAAGAAGGAAGGGCATACCAGGTGAAGCCTGGAGCCTGGAAAGGTGAGGGTGCGTTTAAGAGTGGCCAAGCGCACGGTGCAGGATCGGTGTAGGTCGTGGTTAGATATGGGCCCGGTCGCAAAGTGACGGATGAGCAGTTTCAAGGAAGCTGCAGTTTAGCCTACAGGAGTGGCATTGTAGGTCGTGGTTAGATATGGGCCCGGTCGCAAAGTGACGGATGAGCAGTTTCAAGGAAGCTGCAGTTTAGCCTACAGGAGTGGCATGATTATATTTGCATGTTAGAAAGGTCACTGTCCAGGGGTGGTGTCTTAGTGACTGTCTTGTTTCTGGAACACGATACTGGTTTATTTTGGCTCACAGTTTCAGTCCACGGTTGGAAGACGCAGATGCAGAAACGGTGTGGTGGAAGGGCCTGCCGCGGGGCAAAGCTGCTCACACCCAGCAGTCAGGAAACAGACAGAGAACAGGGGAGGGGGGAAGGCACCCTTCCAGGCCACGCCCCCAGCGACCACCTCCACCCAGGCCCCGCCTCCTCACTGAACAGTCAGCTCCTGAGCACAGCCAGCTTCCATGAGCCCACCTCTGAACTTCAGGCTATGTGGGGACATCAGATCTAAACCATTACAGCTGGGAATTGGGATGGAGCAGCTTCGAAGTCAGAGAACCAGGTGGAAGGTTGCTGTAGCTGTCGCAACGAGCGGAGCTGGATCTGGGCCATGTAGGGGTGAGGAGTTAGGGAACAGTGTGGTCTAGGATCTGGAGAGAACAGGGCTCGGTGACGGACTGGAAGTAGTGGGTGATGGAGAGGGAGAAGAAGGAAAAGCTGGTTCCCAGTTCCCAAGCACTCGCTAAGATCTCTCTTTCCTTTCAGTGAGAACAACACACCCAGGACTAACAAGACTGAATTCCAGCTGGAGCTGCCTGTGAAATACGCTGTCTTCTTGATAGTCTCCAGGTGCTGGCCCCAGACTGAGCTGCACGTATAGCTGCTGCACTTCTGTATCTCTGTATGGGTCTGCGCTGCATGTTTGTGTGCGTGTGTGTGCATATCTGTGTGCCTGTGCGTGGGCATGCGTGGTCAGACTGGCACACACTGTGTCCCACCTGCCTCACCCCGCACACCCCTGTGAGCTGGGGACCCTCACACGCAGCCCGAGAGCCCCGCCCGTGACACCCTGGTCTCCTGTCACCTGTCCCTTTCTCCCTTCAGTGGTGAGGCCTCGACCAAATACCTCAGCTTCACAGCCTCGGAGAAGGCCAGTCAGGCTATGGAGCACCAGTATCAGGTGGGGAGCAGAGAAGCGAAGCAGGAAGTAAAGACGGGAAACCGGGGCAGGGCGCCTGCTGCGTGCCAGGCTCGGCAGAGGAAGGCAGAGGGGGGGCGCAGGCGGGGACTCTTCACTCCCAGGCACAGCGAGCGCATCTCGGCTTTGCCGCCCACGCAGGAGACACTGTCACCCTTTGGTTTACAGACGGGCACAGCAGGGCTCGGAGAGGTTAACAAAGCATGTCCAAGTTCTCGCAGCTAATCAGTGGAAAAGCCAGGACACAAGGCCCGCTGGTCTGGCTTTCAAATGTGTGTTGGATGGCTACACTCTCCCGCCTCCGGAAAGGGGCAGGACACGGGCCTTCCCCAGCTGTGCTAGGCGGCAGGGCCAGAGAAGCACGTCCTGCAGCCGGAGGGGCAGAGCCGTCGGAGCCCTGACCCTCCGCCCTTCCCTGGTCCAGTTCAGCAACCTGGGCAAGAGGAGCCTCCCCGTCAGCGTGGTCTTCTGGGTGCCCGTGATGCTGGACAACGAGGCCGTTTGGGACCAGCCCCAGGTCACCTTCTCCCCTGTGAGTCCAGCTGGGCCCGAGGCGTGGCCCAGTCCTCCCTCCATGGCCCGAGCTTTCCTGAAATGTCGATTCCACCCTGGACTTTGGAGCCTCTTCCTAGCCTGCTCTGGACCCTGAGCATGGGTCTGGGACCCTCATTTCCTTCTCCTGGTGACTGTGTCTCATTCCTCAGAACCTCTCGAGTGCCTGCAATGCCGAGGAAAGATCACCTCCTCTCTCTGACTTCCTGGCTAAGTTGAAGAAGACCCACGTGCTGGTGAGAAGCAGCCTGACTCCAACGGGGGGCCACATACAGACCCGCTGCAGCCCCTCACGGACTCTGATGTGGCCTCCCGACCGAGGGGGCTGAGCGCCGATGTTTCTGCACGCTCTTCCTCCTTTCTCCCCCAGAACTGCTCCATTGCTGTCTGCCGGAGAATCAAGTGTGATGTCCCGTACCTCAGTGTTGGAGAAGAATTCAATGCCACTCTCCGTGGCAACCTCTCATTCGGCTGGTACAGCAAGGTCCGTGAGGTCTTGAGGCCTGTGGGGCCGGCACTGCTGTGCTTCTCCAGGCCCCGCCTGGCCCCTACTCTGCTCTCGTCCACAGACCTCGAGGAGCCGCCTCCTGGTTGTGAGCACAGCAGAGATCTTGTTTAACGACTCTACGTTTGCCGTGCTCCCGGGCCAGGGGATGTTTGTGAGGTCCCAGGTAGCTGTCTCAGGCACAGAGCCTGCTGCCGGGTGGAGGAGGAGCTGGGCCTGAGAAGATCATGGGTGGAGCTGGGAGGGAGGAGAGAAGCAGGTGGGGAGGAAGAAAGAGGCCTGGGTTTTGGGGACGCAGGGAAGGGGGCAGCTTTGGGGTCAGGGGTGCAGCCCGACTGGCGAAAGCCCCAGAACCCGGGGTCTTTCTCCTTATGCGCGCCTTTTCTCCTCTTCCTCCCCCAGACGGAGACCAAGGTGGAGCTACATGACGTTCCCAGCCCTGTCCCGCTCATTGTGGGCAGCTCCATCGGAGGGCTGGTGCTCCTGGCCCTCATTACTGCCGCGCTGTACAAGGTGCCCCCGGTTGGCCTCTCCCTGCCCTTCCCTCTTTCTCAGGCAGCAGGTCCCTCAGTGGGTTCAGCTCCCCCTAATGCTACCAGCACTGCGCCTTAGGCAAGTCGGAGCCTCTCACTGCCTCAGTTTCTTCAGTAACACCAGTACCCACTTTGGGAAGGAAATGGGGTTAATATGTGTGCAGCCACTAGAATGGCCCCTAGGTGAAGCCCCACAAGGAGACTTTTTTCGTTTGCGTGGGGAGGCTCTCGCTATACAGTACAGCTATGAACTCTTGCGATTCTCCTGCCTCAGCCTCCTGAGTGCTGGAATTACAGGGATATGCCACCATCCCCAGCAGGAGAGGAGATATTCTTCTTGTTGTATTTTAATATTACCTTCCTGGTCCCAATGTTGGTGCTGTTTCCCTCCCTTCCACACTGTGCCTCGTTAGTGTCTGCTCTTTGGGGCCCTTCAGTTCCCCTCCTGGTCTGCGACTTTCAGCTGCTCCTCGACTGTGTCCCTTACATCTCTGTCTCTGCCCCAACAGCTTGGCTTCTTCAAACGGCAATACAAGGACATGATAAGCGAAGCTGGTCCGCAGGTGGCTCCAGCCCAGTAACAACCCTTCTCCTCAGAGTGGCCTTGACAGCGAGCAGGACTTCAGTCAGAGCAACGAGCGGGTCCCTGGGCTGTTGGGCAGACGTGTCTCGCAGGAGGGCGCGCAGGAAAGGCCTGCCTGAGTTTCCGTGTGTGTGTGGCTCCGTGTGTGACTCTGGTGTCCCTTGCATATGGGCAAAGTGCCTTAGCACAATCTCTTGGACCCCTGTGTGTGTGTGTGTGTGCGGGGGGCGAAGATGCTGCCGGGCTTTCGCCGGGAGAGGCGAGGGTGCCCTTCCAGGTGAGCAGGAAGGAGACAGAAGCACCCTCTCCGACCGGAAGCGCCGTCTCCGCGGAGGAAGTGAGGCCGCCGCAGGCGCAGGCGCAGTGCGCAGCCTGCGGAGCCTGTGCGCCAGGGAGGGGGGGACCTGGAGAGGCGGAGCCTGTGGAAACCCAGCCCACCCCAGAGGCTGTTGGCCGGTGAAGATCCCAAGGAGGAATCGCGACCCTCCCGTCCCTAGTCATCTTTTACTTTTATAAACCTGTCCATTGTGCAAAAACCAAAAGACATTCAGGGTGTATGGCGAAAAGTCTCTTCCCAGCTCTCAAAATACCCTCTGTAAGGGCAGTCAAGCTGTGTGTTTTTGGGTCTCCTTCGCACACATATACACAGAGACTTTTTTTTTAACACAATGATAGCATACTTTATAGTGTCCCGAATCTTGCTTTTTTCATTAGTACTGCACAGAACTTTTCATGTCAGGACACAAATTACTTTTTCTCTTTTACACAGGTGTATAGTATTCTAGTGCACGAGTGTGTCATTATATATTTAGCCAGTCTTCTTTGGATATATTATTTTCAACCTCTTGCTGTTAAAACAATGCTAAATAAATAAATTGGATATATGTTGGCTTTGCATACGTGTTAAGGATAATTTATACAGCATATTTTTAGAAGTTTGAGATTCCCCCAGAAGCAGATTCAAGAAAAGGATTTGAGTGGAAGAAGTTTATTTAAGAGATGGCCCGGTGAAATACTCACTAGGAGGGGGAAATGAGCTGGGGCGGGGGGGCGCGGAGACAACCACTAGCTGTGTCACCAACAGAGATGGCACAGTGAGCTCTGTAGCTTGGCCTCCCCAGGACGCTCTGTGTGCTCCAGCGTTGTGTGACCCTGAGCTGTGACGCTTGCCTGTAGCACTGAGCTGCTCGGCTCTGCCGCAGTAGTGGCAGGATGACCTGATGGAGAATTAACTGTGCTGTCTCCCCTGCAGACTCAAAAGAAAGGTGGTAGAAAAGTGATGTGTGTCATGATGCTATGGATTTCCCTTCTCCAGGGGAAATCACACAACTTTGCTTTTGGAAAATCCTAACTCTTAACCACTTCCAGCTTAGAAGATTTCAAGCTGGCAGACCTTGGGCCAAATCCAGCCATCATATTTTATTTGGCCCATATGGTCTTTTTTGGTCTGTTTTTGATTAGTTGCTGACATTTTCAAGTTATAAGATTTCCAAAAGAAATCCAGATTTATGGCTGCTCTTGAAAAACTACAATGTTTGGCACTGGAGCTACACTAGACAGAATGCACCGGTTAGGCAGGGTGTGGCTCTGTCCACCACAGTTCCCCCACTCCAAATAGCATTCTGGCCTCTGAGGCCAGGGTCAGATGTATTCAAGGTGACCTTTGAGGCCCTGACCAACTCTGCAGCTCACCCTCTGACCCTGCTCCTCCCCCTGAAGTTCGTGTTTTGCAAAGGCACCAAACGTGATAAACCATTATTTTGAAAGAGAAAGGTGCTGTGGTTAATGATCACACGGGGACGCCGGGCTGACAAACAGGCTGTCTGGACATGTCCAGTGCACCTGTGTCCCTCCCCACATTCCCTCTCACCTCTCTACTTCTGCCCACCTTCTTACCTTCTTCCTGAACTCACTTCTTTTTTCCATCACCTGACTCTTGCCCTTGCTTAAATGTTACTTCCTCCAGATCCTCCTGATTCTCCATTTGAGAGAAGTTCAGTCTGACACAAGCTGCCACAGTAAGCTGTGTTTCTTTCCCTGGAGCCCGGCCATCCCCCAGGGACAGGACTTGTTACTCCTGGAACCTGTGATGAACAATTGCTGAATGCAGACGCTGAGCAAATGAAGGAATGAACCCTGCTCTTCTGGAGCCTTCCACCAGGAGACAGAGCTCTCAAAACTCTGTTTCCCTAAACCCTGACACCTTTCTTTGGGACCATGTGATATTCAGCCAAGCTGCTTCACATTTTCTAGATGCCAAGAGCCTGAATATACAAAGGAAAATGGCCAGGCCACTTTATATAAAAGTAGGCCGCTAGCCCAGAATCTGCAACAACCAATAACCCACCCAGGAAGCCGGAAGTCAGATCATTATCTTTAGCACCTAGCAAAAGAAACCTCATAATTTTAATTTTTTAATCAGTCCCATGTCCAGGCAGGGCTCAATTAATAATGATAAGCCTCCTTAATTTCTGTTATAGCCAAACAGAGAACGTCAGGTCCACACATTTGCTCTGTCTCACAGGATGGCTGCTTCCAGCCGGCTTGCTGACAGCCTCTCCACGCCAGCAGCTTCCAGGCAGGGCGTAGCAAAGCTTTCCCTTTTCTGTCCTATGAAGCCTTCCTACTCCTCCGCCTGCTTGAGCCTCTGCAGTGATGATGTCCAGCTTATCTGCTGTAATGAGCTTTGAGCGTAGCTCTTGGCTGTTCTTGTTTGGCTGGTCTTTGTTTATTTCCATGATCCTCGGGTCAGTCTGCTACTGTGATAAATAAACATAGTAGTTTCCTTTCCACACCCTCTGTGAGTACCCCATTTTGGCAGAGACTTTGAAGAACAGTCGCTGAAGCTGCTCCCTTCACTGCCTCCCAGTCCCCACTGGCAGTTATTAAAGCACCAGGCCTCTCAGAAGCTGGGGGCCAAGTTCAGTCAGGGATGCACTTGGCTACTGAGAACACTTCTGCCACGAAGCCAAGGCCAAGACACAGAAGCTGAGTGTGACGACCCAGCCTTACTCTCTCAGGAATGCCCCTCTTTCAGTTTGGCCTCAAAGCAGGGCCCACTCCGTGGTGGGATTCATGCTCCACAGCTTTCCCTGCAGCCAGGTGGATTTGGATTCCAGTGAAGATCTTATTGTCACTAAGCTTCTGTCCCTCTCTGCACTTCTTTGATTTCCCCCCCCCCCTAGGAGCTTCCTTTAGTAAATTGCCAGCCCTCAAATTCCTATCTCTGATTCTAGACCTGGAAAACCAGACCTATGATGACTACTATTCCAAAAAGCCCACTCGCCCTCCTCCGTCATTTTCTCCCATCCAGGTAGTAACTGGGCCTGACTCAACTTCTAAGATCAGATGAGATCAGGCAAAGTCACAGGGTGGGGTGACTGAGAACCATGTGCTGCTTTCTTTATAGGCCATATCCCTACCTGAAAAAGAAGTCCTAGTTCATTCGTTTCCTTGACCTGGATGCTGTTTCAAACCCCTGAAGGCTGGGATTGTCTGTTTTTGTTCCTTAAGGTATCTATACTGCTTGTGCAGTGCCTAATTTAAAGTAGGATCTCAATTGATACTTGTTAATGAATGAATGAATGAATGAATGAAGACTGTGGTGTGGCAAAAGGGCTTGAGCTAGTGGCAGCAAATTATGGGATTAGGAAGTAAATAAAGTTCACTAATGGAAGATAAAAGCTGTATTTTAGTAATGTTTTCTTTGTACAGATTCATCTCAGTGTTGGCCTCCTATTTCTGGTAATAGAATGTTCTCTTCTTCCTGGTGGAAGGAGAACACCTTTCACCTGGGAGATTTTGTCTTGCTTCAGGCAGAGGGGAGGAGGTCAGAGAGTACTTCCTGCATGTCTTGTTGCTCCATCAGCAGTAGCTTAAAATAATCAGTATGGCAAAATGAAATATTTGGGGGTGGAATTCTCCAAACCCCTTCAAGGCCAATCCAGTCTCATTAAATCTTTCACAACTGCCCAGTGAGGTGGATATTATTTTCCTGTTTTGAGATGAGGATATTGATGATGAAATGTCATGTTAAATTGCCCAATATCAGGCTGACTTTCTATAGTTTAGGACTCAGCCCAGAGGTGCCTGCTCACTTCCTTGGACTGTGAGTGAATCCGGGAACTGGGCAATGCACCACGGAGCCTTTAAGCGGCGGGGAGCCCAGGCTGGGAGAAGGCCTATCTCCAGCACTCCAGATCCCCCTTCTTGGGCACCTCCTTCCCATTGTCTTTTCTCTTCTTCCTCTCCCGGTTTCCCAGTGACATGTCTTCCCTTTCCCTTTTCTCCCCTGGCTCTTTTCTCTGAAATTAAGTGCAAAATAAATACTATATTTTTCTTTTTTTGTGGTATTGGATTGAACCCAAGGCCTTTGCACTGAGCTGTGTCCCAGCCCTCTTTTATTTTTTGTTTTGAGACAGGGCCTTACTGAGTTGCTCAGACTGGTTTAGAACTGTCAGCCTTCCTGCCTCAGCCTCCCAGACAGCTGGGATCATAGGTAAGTCCCACCACGCCTGGCTTATTCCACTGAATCACTTTCCATGCATGGGGGTTTGAGCAGAAACAAGGCTTTTGTCAGCATGTGTGAGACAGCTGTGCTTGCTCCTTCTCATCCCTCTGCTGCCTCTGTGTTGTCTTCATCCACCAGGCACACTTGTTTCTGTTCCTTAGTTTTGTTATATTCCTTGATGCCTTTATTTTCTTTAACCTCCTTTTTTGTACCCGAGATGGAATCCAAGGGTGCTCCACCACTAAATTACATCTCCATTTCTTTTTGTTTTTTACTTTGGGACGGAGTCTTGCTAGTTCGCTGAGGCGGAACTTGAATTTGTGGTCCTCCTGTCCCAGCCTCCCAAGTGCTGGGATTACAGCCATGTGCACCATACCCAGGTTTCTTTAGCCTTTTATTCAAGCTAAACAAATCTTTATTTTATTCTATATTTACACCAATGCAAGTTAGTTTGCCTCTTTGAAGGGCAGAGTCTGCCTTGTTCCGAGCAGCATTCTGATTTCTGTTGCTACTGAGCAGGCCTCAGGATGACCTGGGCTGAGAACTTGCTCCATTCCCTTGGCCTCTGTGCCTGTTCCCTTTCACCCACCCAACCACTGTTCACTCACTGCTACAGTTTGAATGCCCCCTTCAAAACTCACTTTGAAACTTAATTGCCATTGTGTATTGAGGTGTGGCTCTTCAGAGGTAATTAGGCCAGGAAAGCTCTCTCCTCATGGATAGATCAAGGCTGTTACGGCTGGATTAGGTCCCCAATGAGAGGATAAGTTTAGCGTCCACTCTTTCTCTGCCTTGAACATGCCCACTTGTCCTTCTGCCGCGTTATTTAAGCCTGTGCCAGTTGTCAGCACCATGCCCTTGGACTTCCCAGCCTCCAGAACCGAGCACCAAGTAAAGTTCCGTCGCTTATGCGCCTACCCAGGCTGTGTTTTCCTGTTATCGCAGCAGAAGCAGACTAAGACACCTACCCACGCAAGTTCCTATGCCTGTCACACTATTTTTCCAGCCACCCACACATCTACACATAAGCTCATCCACCCTCTCACCACCTGTCCACTCACATACCTGACAGATGTGTGTGGACCCATGGGTGTTTATTCAGGGTCCAATGCCCAGTGTTGGAAAGACAAGGAGAAATGAGACTCAGTAGCCCCTTCGTGAACTTGTCTAGCTGGTGTCGTGTTTTGTTCCATCTGGAAGGATTGATCTGAGAGTGACCTGAGAGCACAGTGGTGACTGAGGAGGAACCACGTCACCGGTGGTGTTGGCACTGGCTGGGGCAAACCCCCAAGACTTCGAGAGTCCCTGTGCCTGTGCCACTCACGGGCAGCCAGGCTTGGAGCCCAGGGACTGGCTCCCCGACCTCAGCCTGCGCAGCATGAAGCAA